AGGGAAGGAAGGTATAAAGGAAAGAATAAAAAAAGCAAAGGAAGAAAGAAAAGCAAGGGGGCGGAGAGATGTTGGGGCAGCTCGCGTGGCCGCTACGCGCTGCACCAGCATCAAGAGCGGCTGCGCTGTCGGCGCGACGTAGCCTTACGCCACGGCGCAGAGGCGTAAAAACTGGCCTCCGTGCAACCAGACCTCCGCCTGCTCGCCCGCGCGCCGCGCATCTCGCGATCCGCTTGTCCGATGCCGCCACCGGGAGCGCGCCGGTCGCGCCCGACCTCTGCCCGCCGCGGCGTGGCCCCCGCCTCCCACGCCCACGTCGACAGCCCGTTCACAGTTTTTCGCGCCCGCCCGCCCGAAAAATGGAGAAGGTGACTGGCGTACGAAAGGCCGCCGCAGGACGCATCGCTGACAACTGTTGGGGGGAAAAACACAACGGGGAAAGTGAAACTGACAAAAGAAGTTACAAAAAAAGAAAAAGGAAGCTCGAGTAAAAGTATTATGAAATAAGAAGGGTGTAAGCAAAAAATGTAATGTGGATTTGGAAAGGCAGAGAAAAGTTAGCTGAAGATGAGAAGTAAGCTTAGAAAATCAATTATTATTTTCAATATTTTAAAGCAGGGTAACAAGACTAAAAAGATACTTCCTCTGGATGTAGCTCCACAAAAGCTAGAACGCAACGTTTTCACCAAAACTATTCGAAAGCCAAGTTATAAGAAAATTTTCCTGACAACGAGTATTTTACAGTGTGCTTGTAACATCGAAGGCTATGAAGAATTTTGAGTACGCAAGTAAAACAACTAAATTTTCTTAAACTTGCCAAATCATCTGAGAAGAATGGTTCAAACACAACCAGAAAACTGAATAGAATTCAAAATATGTCTATGATTAAATCATGAACATTTTAACCGGCTTTTAATTCGGTCTCGATTTCAGTCCCAAAATGTACGGGCAACCAGGGCCGCTTTAACAGTTTTGGGGGCCCTTGGGCTTAGATTAATTTGTGGGCCTCATATGCTCACTTCCCCCGGTCCTCCCCCCCCCCGAAATATTAAGAAAAAACTGAAATATTAAGAAAATCTTGTTAATTTGCACGGTACCTTTTTTTCTAATTAAAAAAAATTGAAATTATTTCTTAGTGTATCAATTTAAGATTATGCAAAGAAAATTATATATTAATAACAATGTAAGAATCACTCCGTTATGCCAATTTTTTGTCTATAGTTTAATCATGCATAATTTTTATATTGTTTTTTATTTTACTTTGTTGAAAAAATTAGTAATAAATATTTTTTTAAGAACTATCGGGGGGGGGGGGG